AGTCACACGACTACTGACGCCGGATTAGAACTTATAAAACATATTTTTTGTGCATGGGAAAATTCAGAGGATGCTTTGGGTGTGTTTTGTGACCTTGCCAAGTCCTTTGACTGTGTTCACCATGAGACATTAATCAGGAAGCTACAGTACTATGGTGTCAAGAACACAGCGCCTAAACTTATTATTTCATATTTTAAGTAATAGAATGCAGAAAGTTATTATCAATGGTAAAAGTTCTTCCGGGTTGTCCGTAAAGATGGGTGTCCCTCGGGGCTCGATTCTTGGCCCATTCCTATTTTTAGAGTATATTAATGACTTACCTCCCTAATCATGATATGGTATTATTTTTAAATAAAACTAATTTTACGGATTTTACCGCGTATATTAACCTATTTTTATATCCCCGACGTTTCGGGTGCTTTCCAGCACCCGTGGTCACGGGGGACTGAGGTGTTTGACGTCCTGCTGTCAGAGTTAGCCCGGCTACCTTCTGTTTTTTAATATTAATTTTTGGTCCGGTTTACGCAAACACTGCCTCACATCTGGCTATTTATTGTGGAAAGAAGAGTTCTACATGCAAGTAGACGGAGTGGCAATGGGCTCACCTGTATCTCCCGTAGTCGCCGACTATTCATGGAGGACTTTGAGGAGAAAGCCCTTCTTACTGCTCCTGTAAATCCAAGATTCTACAAGCGGTACGTAGACGATACTTTCACAATTTTACCATCTGACAAAGTAACTGCATTTTTAAACCACCTTAATTCCATAAACCCTAAAATACAATTCACAGTGGAGTTAGAGGCAAACAATACTTTAGCTTTCCTAGATGTTTTAGTCATCCGAAATCCTGATAACACTATTGGTCATACTGTGTACAGAAAAAATACCCATACCAACCGATATCTAAATGGTGAATCTCACCATCATCCTTCACAGTTAGTTACCGTGCGAAAATCTTTGTTTCAGAGAGCACGAGGGATCTGTGACAGAAAATATCTGGCCGCCGAGCTTCGGGTCCAGCGCCTACGTCACAGTGACCGAGTGAAGCCAGCCACAGTCGAGCGTGTGCCTGCTGTACTACCCTATATCAGAGGAGTCACAGACAAGGTTGGCTACATCTTGAAGCGAGTTTCCATTAAAACATACTTCAAGCCGCTGAAGAAGATTAGTCAATTTTTACCATCCGTCAAGTGTCATATCCCTCTACAAGATGCAGGAGTGTACAAGCTGGATTGTGAATGTGGTCTCTCGTACATAGGACAAACAAAAAGATCTATTAAAACCCGCGTTAAAGAACATATAGCTGACGTGAAGCACCGACGTATCGGGAAGTCTGCAGTTTGTGAACATGTTCAAGATCGTCCCCGCCATTACATTAGATTTGATAGACCACAAATCCTCGCAAAAGAACACCGATTCCTCCCAAGGATGATTCGCGAGGCTATTGAAATTAAAAAACATTCTAATTTCAATAGAGAAGATGGATGGGTGCTGCCATCTGCTTGGGATCCCATAATTAATAAAATCAAATCGAAACCCAAGTATACCACTGCTAGACTTCAAGATACTGTAAGCTCATTCTGCGTAAATCGGACCAAAAATTAATATTAAAAAACTGAAGGTAGCCGGGCTAACTATAACAGCAGGACGTCAAACACCTCAGTCCCCCGTGACCACGGGTGCTGGAAAGCACCCGAAACGTCGGAAATATAAAAATAGGTTAATATACGCGATAAAATCCGTAAAATTAGTTTTATTTAAAAATGTGTAGTGTTCGCGTAAATATAAGAAATGGTATTATTTGCTGATGATACTTCCTTGATTTTTAAACTTAAACGTCTATCATTTAAATGTGACAAAGTGAATAATGCTATATCAAAATTAGTGCATTGGTTTAACGTTAATAATCTGCATTTAAACGGCAATAAAACTAAATGTATTAAATTTACAACAACGAATGTCAAAAATCTGAATACCAGTGTGTTTTTAAATGGGAAGAACTGAGCCCTGTTGAATCCTCTCTTTTTCTTGGCATAACTCTCGACGCAAAGCTTCAGTGGGCCCATTTATCCAAACTAGCACGCTAGCATTTATCCAAACAAGCAACTAAGCTCTGCAGTTTATGCTTTAAAAATGATTAGAGATCTCACTAGTGTGGAGACTGCTAGATTAGTTTATTTCAGTTATTTCCATAGCATATAATGCATTCCATAATGTCTTATGGGATTTTGCTATGGGGAGATGCGGCTGATTTAGAAACTATTTGTTTTGCAGAAGAGGGCCATAAGAGCTGTTTACAACCTTAAACCGAGTCTTTTAGAGAAAATTTTAAAGAAATAAATATATTAACTTTGGCCTCTCTTTATATTTACGAAAATTTTATGTATGTTCACAAAAAATACATAGTTTTAGTAAAAAGTGATATACACTCTGTAAACACTAAGAACAAACACAAGCTAGTGATACCGGTCTCTCGACTTCAGTCAGTAATTCATTATTTGGGCAATGTATACGCTATTGCAACATCGTCCCAGAAAATATACAAGGTATCTCTATTACCAAGTTTAAATATTTAATTAAACAAAAGCTGCATAAAAAGGATTATCTTTATATATAAAAATTACGTGTCACGTTGTTTGTCCACGATGAACTCCTAAACTACTGAACCGATTTCAATGAAATTTTGCACACTCTGTGCAATTTGGTCCCACTTGAGAGACAGGATAGTTTTTATCCTGATAAGCGACACTCAATATTTTATTATTACGAATTTTAGGATTTTTTATATGAAGGGTCGTCGAAAAGGGCAGAACAACGTCTGCCTGGCCAGCTAGTTATAATATAAATGAATACATGGTTAATAATAACTCCTGGGAATGAGGTGGTTGCTTCCAAGCTGTTTCTAAAATAAAATTTGTAAATAGTTTGTAATCATTTATAATGTAAAATTTATTTAAAAAAAAGTCCCACTGGATTTCTTGCTGGTTCTTCCCGGGACAGAAGATTTTTTTCGAACCAGTGGTAAAGTAAAAAAATTACTTGTAATCAATATTCAATAAAAATTTATTCTATTCTATACAAATGTTTATATCAGTATATTATTATAATAATATATAATCAATAGGTACCTAGTCCGGAGCAAAAACAAATCGAGGACAAACAACTCAACATTTCCATTACAGCCACTGCTGAACATGTGTGGAAAGGACTTCCACAAAACACGTTCCTGAGTCATGTGCATCCTAAACACGTTCCTGAGTCACGTGCATCCTATCCTGTAAGAAACCTACCTAGAGGCACTTCTAGGCGGAAATAGTACTATAATCTAGTAAACTGACTTCCTGTATGTATTACTTGGTTGTTACACCATCTAGTGGAAAGCCACCTACACTTTTTTACCGGTACGAGGCCGTGTAGTTACGGCTTAAGAATATCCACTACCCTGTGGAAGTCGGCAGGTGGGCAGCAGCATCTTTCTCATAAATGAATAATTTAAAAAACTCAACATTATACGGAAAAAACTTGTTACACCATGTTTCTCTGTAATTTTTGCCCCGTGGTACCCAGGTAAGAAGTGACTAGATTTGACCAACAGATAAAACAGACTAATAAATTAACAACGCCATCTAGCAACGAACTTATAAACTTACGAGTTTAATGTTAAATGCATAACGGACTAAACGAATATAATATAAAAAATTATAAAAATGTATTTCATAAAATACTTCTGAAGGTTGATTGAAGGAAGATTGGTACTTTCGCTAAATTTCTCTCTTTATCCGTAAAACCGCTAAGCTGTAATATTGTTAAAAAGTTATTAGAAAGATTTTAAAAAATATAAAAATACAAATAAACATTAAAACATCATGCCGCATAAAGTGCACCAATAGACATAGTACATCACCAATAGACATCTCCCAATTAAATGGCCTTATATGAGGTGTTTCATAATAATCGCTATTGAGATCGCAATACCAGATGTTACAAATCTCAGTCGCTCTATCTTCATTATCTCCCTTACTATGGTTACCGCTAATGAGGCGCTGCGTAATTGTTTTAACGAGTGTCAGAGTACTGAGTAATACTGGGTTTTATGTATGTACAATAGAGTAATTTGTCAAATACTTGGTACGGTTCAGAAACCCGTTTACGCACGATTATTACACGTGCGCCTGGTTGCATTAAAAGGCATATGCAAATCTTAAACTCCAAATATCAACCCAATAGAAAACATGCTAAATCGTTATGCCATAAGAAAATGTTTCAAACTTAGATGATTAAAGTTTATAGCTGGAACTACATTAATAGTGTCTAAAATTTTATTATGACTATATACTTTTGATTATTTTAATATTTAAATTTCATCATCATCATTACAGCCCATCACAAGTCCACAGCAAAACATAGGCCTCCGCCAAGGAATGCCGCAAAGCACGGTCCTGAGCCACCTGCATCCATCGACTTCCTGCATGTCTTACCAGGACGTTACTCCATCTAGTGGGGGGCCATCACTTACGAACTTATCACACCTATCATCACCTTCTTCCACATTATCACATTAAAATTGGGTGATTTCTAGATCTCGACAACAGCGCCACTTACAGAGTCCAAATGTCTATACCATCCAGGGACCCATTCAAACTCACACAAAAAAAAATCATCAAAATCGTTCGAGCCGTTTTCGAGTTTTAGCGAGTTTCGACAGACAGCAATGGATTTTTATATATAGGAGATAAATGTATTATTTCAACCTAAAACTATATATAATTACAAGTTATTCACTCAAGTGCAAGTACTTAAAATATTGCAAATATACCAAGACCCAGTGGTAAGAGAATTCCCAGCTCTATCTAATGGAAGCCTCAAGGTGTCGCTGGTATTTTGTTTTATTGACTTTTATGAAATTTACAATATGATACAGAATCTTACATTCCTTTATGCTGTCACACGGCCCAAGTGGTTAATAGTATTTAATTTCATAGTAAAAAAAATTAGCTTACCTTGGGTGAATGGTTCTTTTAAATCTTCAAGTTCCATCTGAAATAGAAAAATGTATTGTGTACCACTGAATACAAAGCAAAGTAAGTTTACATCAGAAATTTATCAACTAATTATATATAATAATATCACAACAATATTATTTACTTTTCTGCACAGGAAAGTAAATAATATTGTTGTGATTTTATTATATTATTATTCCACTTGACCGCATCCAACGCAGAGCGGCTCGAATCGTCGACGACCGAGCCCTTTCCGATCGGCTCGATTCATTGGCACTGCGAAGAGATGTTGCATCCCTTTGCATTTTCTTTCGCATCTACCATGGGGAGTGCTCTGAGGAATTGTTCGGATTAATCCCAGCCGCCAAATTTCACGAACGCACATCGCGGCAGAACTCCCGATACCATCCACACCATCTGGATGATTGGCGGTCCACCACTGTGCGATTTAGAAGATGTTTTCTTCCTCGCACGACCTCCTTGTGGAATCGATTACCATCAGCGATTTTTCCGGACCGATACGACTTAGGGACCTTCAAGAAAAGAGCGTACTCCTTTTTAAAAGGCCGGCAACGCATCTGCGATTCCCCTGGTGTTGCAGTTGTTCATGGGCGGCGGTAGTCACTTACCATCAGGTAAGCCGCATGCTCGTTTGCCCCCTCTCCTATAAAAAAAAAAAAAGAAGTCCGTCAGGGTAAGTTTCACCTTTTTACCTATTACTGCCACCAAATAGCAGCATTTGCAATACTGTGTTATGTTCTAGAATCTAGAAGATATAGAACAAATATAGCTACAGGCTGTGAGGCATTCCATCTTAGCCCTCAGCCCTTGTCCTTCAGGCATTTGTGTGCCTTTCTTGTTTGAATTTGTCTTAAGGTCTCCATGGAATGCAGTAACTACTTACCGTCAAGTGCACTGTAGCTTTGATTGTTACTACAGTTTTATAAAATAATAATTACCTGTGTAACACCATTGAAATGTTTATACTTTTCAGTTTTATCCTTGACTGCTCCAGCCTCGGACTTTTCCTTTTCTTTCTCCTTCTCTTTGTCAGTGGATGCTGTCGGGGATGCACCGCGGCGTTTCTTTGGTGCCGGTGATGGTAATGTTGCATTATCTTCTGTCTGTTCATCTAAGTACCTGTAATTTTATTTAGTTCAAACAAACAAGTTTACATAAATGAACTTAAAAATAGAATTTTATAATATAACCATATTGACCATAAATGAACATACATAAAATTTGAGAAGAACCATAATCACATTAATAGTTGAAACAAATATAGATTTGTTTTTTTTTTTTTATATTTTAAGCAAACTTTAATCTATAAAAGCCTACATAAACATACTACCAACCTTTAGGCCAGTTTCTTTATTAAATGAATAAAAATATATCTATAAATTTAAGGCCTTGACTCCCTAACAATTAACCCACTTTATTAGGTAACTACTCTACCAAATATAGTAATTTTACTGTACATCACAATCGCAAATGTAATTTAGGACTTCAAGATCACATTTCGGCAAGTGATGCTGTATTACAATGTTTGGATTTCGTGTAAACATTGATTTCTGTCTCAAAAATCAATGTCAATAGGGAAACCCATTAGTTACGAAAAATAAATACATATAAAGCAATATAAACTACAAAATATAAGATACAAAATGATAGCCGTATTTAACCCTGTGAAACAAGCCTCAAATCAAGGTTGTCAAGAGTTATTCCGGCTTGCTACTAGGACAGAATATTAATTATCTTCTCATCTTCAGTATAAGTTTCCTTTTAGTTTAGTAATATCTGCCTGTAAAAATATCACAGCTGGACATGGGCCTCTCCAATTGTATGGCTATAGTGGTGATGGATACGCTTACGCTATACCACACGGCACATCAATATGTATCAGTGATGTAACTTTATGTATAACTAAAACTAAAATGAATACTACGAAAAGATTCATTCTTTTGCTGATGTTAAAGTAGTAAAGAAAATATATTTCGTATTATGTCAACCGATTTTCATCTATTGTATAACCTCATGGGAAGTAGCAGCTAAAACTACACTGCTCTACTGGTAAGCGTTCAAAGAGCAGTATTAAAAATCGCAACATTCCGCCCTGTCTTATTCACATCCAATCTCTTATATAAATGCCGCAATGTCCTCTCAGTGCACCAGTTATTCATTATGAGTATGTTACTAAAACAGAACTTAAAATTGCCCTACAGAAGAGAGCTCGCTGATAAAAGACGCAAAGATAAAGTAAGTGGAACTAACATTAGAGTGAGGCATTCTTGCATAGATTTTGTACATCCCTTGGCCCATGGTTCTTATGTTAATTTATAATAATATATTTTACCAAAATTAACACTAACTAGTTTGTATGTTATTCATTTTATATAAGAAACAGAAAATATTTGCTAATGTATCTATTAGCACATACACCTGAGATACAGGTTTATCCTATTTCAGGTACCTGTTATTGTAGACTGTTTCAGATTAAGGCATTGTTTGAATTAATAGTACAGTTTATTAAAAATTAAATAAAATTAAAAATTATAAAAAATTATAGTTAAAATTATAAATGCTAGACGACGAAAACAGCATCAATCAACAGGCTGATCAAGAAGATGAATATTGGCGATCACGTAACTTAGTCAGAGATAATTGTGCCAGCAGAAGTTGACATTTATACAAACACATAAATTGTTGTTTGTTGGGTCACATTGTAAATATCCCTGTTCTCTGACACTATCCTATCGCTTATCTTAAAATAACTATAACTTATCTCATAAGTGTTCCATTGGCCAAAAGCAGGGCAAATAATTCTGTAAGGTACTAGTTGATTGCTTTTAAGTGTTTGGAGGAATGCAGTAAAGAACCAGTTAGAAGGACATCATATAATTACCTCTTCGGTCGTATTTTTCTACCGCTCCTACTGATTATCTCTTCATCTTTCTTCTCTTCCTCCTCTTCTTTGGGTTCTTCCTTCTTCGCCTTTCCACGTGGTGTCTTAGGTTCCTTTGTAGTTTTGGCAGGAGTTGATGGTGCTTTTGGCGTGGACTTGCGACCCTTCTGATAAGAGATATTTTAAAATTGTATTATTCAGTACACCAAAGAAAGTACACCGCAAATTTATGTAGTTTTATGAGATTGTTTCCTCATAGCGGGTTAGAGAATTTAACACGCCCTTCCTTAAATCAATGGAGAGTTAACGAAACCGACTAAAATATGTGAAAGTACAATCTATTGACTTTGAACTGTTTAATTAATGAAATGAAATATTTTCACTCAAAACTACAACTATACTTGGTCGCTTTTTTACAAATTCAGTTATTTTCCGTTGAATGCAATTGTTTAGAAGACACTAGTATTGGGCTGCCCCAACACAAATACGATTACAGTATTCCATATGAGACCAAAGCTTTGCAAGCAGCAGCTTTGTAAGCTGTAAGCGGTGGGCTGTCATGAAATACTGTCTTGATTTACTGAGCATACCAAGCTTTTTAAAGGCCAGGCTTAGGGCAGAACATGCAGCATTTACTATGACCTTGATGTTCAAATCTTACATAATTTCTTGGGAAGCCCATATGAAGATGGCTTTGAAAGAAGTGCTTACTACACATATAAGTGTAGTCAGAACATTTGACGAATATCCAGTGGCGTCCAATAGACAGTGAAATAATTATCTCAAAACCCCAATTAAGGGTGTTACCACACCAATCGATTGTTCGTCGATCGATGGCATCGATTGATAGTTTCTACTACACCAATCTATCGATGGTAGAATGGATTAACTGATGTCGATTGAGCTGCTTGGTTATTCGAACACACCCCACTTCACCAACCGTTCCCTATTGTCCTCTACTAAATACATTTTGAAAGATACTGATGATGAGCCCACAACCACATTGATTATTGAACAACATTTTATGGACCAGTATCCATCGATTACATCACACACACCTACGACACTAATGAAATGACATTGGTTGACGCTCGATCGATAGGTGTGGTAACACCCTAAGTGATATCTGACTGAAAATACAGCTGTGTGGTATGAGTCAAAGGTGTAAATTTTTTGTATAATATTAGGTTAGTTGTGACATAATCTATACATATAATAAATCTGTAGAAAAGTCGTGTCTGTAATTCTAATATATTCTTGAAAAAACAAGTCAAGGGGACTAAATAAAGGGTTCTGAAGCCAAATTATTGGTTTTTAGAATTTTTGTCTGTCTGTCTGTCTTTCTGTCTGTCTGTCTGTCTGTGTATTCCGGATTCACGCAAAAACTACTGAACGGATTTACATGAAATTTTGTATGTAGGTAGTCAGTAACCCGGGGCAACTTATAGGCTACTTTTTATCCGATTACGGAACTTCAAAAAAGGAAGGGTAAGTATATTAATTTCCTTTAGATGTTAATTTTCTGTTGTAAAATAGTTATAGGCGGACCGTCGGGTGTTTTTCAAATAAATACCATATTACAATATTTGTAAATAAAGTTAAAATATAGTTATAATCTTGGTAAAATAATTTGAAACTACACCGATTTCGTATTCAAAACAGCGCCATCTATCATCAAATGGAAAAAGTTGTATATTTTGCCTTCAGTTACTAATAAATGAAATAATATAAATAACTTACATTTATATGATTAAATTATTAGATTTTTAAAATTATCAAAAAATTTTAACGTTAAATTTTTTAGTATTTTTGTTATTTTATTTTAAAAGTGTAATAATTTCAATAGATAATAGTGACATCTATCAAAAATATGGAAATTGATAAGGTATTTATTTCAATTACTAATATATATGTAAAGTGATAAAAACTGGTCTGTCTACAATTGTTGCAAAATTTTCATTATCATCATAGTTTTATTAAAGAGATTTTTATGTATGTCGTGGTCAGATCGTAGAATTGATCATATATCATAAAGTAGTCTATCATTTCGTGAAAACACTGAAAAAATGACTGAAATGAATGTGTATTTAACACTATTTGATGACCGTGTCTTGATATAGCTTGACCAAATCAATGAATAGAAATCTTTTAAAGTTATTAGTAACTAAAGACAACGTTGCTATTTCATAATATGGTCATATGACGATATCATTATCGTTTTTCGCCGCTAGCGGCGCTGATGCTTATGTTTAACAGAAACAGAACTTTTAAGAGAATTGACATCACTTTATCCCTTATTGATATAATAAATAAATGTTCGTTTCTATTGCTGATATTACTAGATGATATAGTTTTGGCTTTCATTATTTCCTGTAATATTAGCGCCACCTACTTACTTCTAAATAGATTAAAATGGCAAGACATTTATTAAATGAAATAATACAATGCTACTGAATATACGATGTAAATAATTGAATCATTTACATTACGTTCGTCCCGCGTTGGAATCAGTGCAGCGAACTCTTTTTTGGTCAAAAACTCTACAGCCTGTGCCCAGTAGTAGCATGTATGTAAGCTGCTTTTTTACTTTTCATGGGGCAATATATGCAGTTTTTATTTCATTCGTGTTTTCGGGTATGATAATTTATGTTTTCACTCTACCGTAAATATTAAGGCTTGCAAAGATGAGTAGAACTCATTATCGTCAGCCTATCAAAAGTCCACTGAAATGAACATTGGCCTGAATATGATATATTGGCCTCCCCCATAAATTGTCAAGTATCTGGATATTTGCTATAGTAGCGGGTTGGCAACCGCAGCTATTATTATTTTGATCTGTTGTCAAGAAGATGATGCAGATCATCCCATCTACTATTTTTTTCCTATGTCGCCTCTTACGACGGGACGATATGATGTGTTGGATTTTCTTTCACCGCCACAACAGTGCGAGCATTTTTCTACTCCCGTTCATGAGTGTAGTGTTCCTCACGTTCACTGTGTATAAAATTTATAAGGAATAAAAGTAATTTTAAGGATTTAATCGCGTTTAATTTTAACTTTTTAAATTCCCGACGATTTGGGCAATTTACAGTACCCATGGTCACGGGAGGGGTGGGAGAACTGAGGTGTTTGATGACCTGATGTCATAGTTAAAATAGAAGGTTAAAATGCAGTAGTAGTTTGAATTTAATTTTATTAATCATGGAGTCCATAGCAGATAGTAGCACTCAGCCATCTTCCCTATTATAATTAGGATATTTTTAATTTCAATAGCCTCGCGAATCATCATTGGTAGGATTCGGTGTTCTATTGCAAGAATTTGTTGTATATAATGGTTGGGACGATACTAAACATGTTTACATACTTTAGACTTCCCGGAGCTTCGGTGCTTTCATTCGGTGAGGAGTCAAGATGCGTAAAAAACCCGTAACATTAGTTTTAATCCATATGTGGTATTCATTATTATAGAACTGTATTTATGAAATTTTCAAGTCTACTCGAAGTAAATAAAAATATCTATATCTTTTTATGGTGCCAATCAATATTAAATAGAACCAATGATATGAATAAAATGTCTCAAATAAATATTATATTACTTTGTTAAAACTAAATTTACTTTAACTATGAATATATATATGTAAAGAGTAAAATGTAAATAATAATAATACATTTTGATTTCAAGACTATGACCTTTCTTATGGATACATCGGAATCGGAAGACACGCCATATATAAAAAATAGTAGGAGTTTCTAGATATATTATAAGTATATTCACGTGTTTCTGTAGCATGTTACCAATCATCTACGTCTAATAGTATTTTAGAATGAAAAAAAATCTCTGACAGACATAGAGACATAGACACCAAGGTGACTCTAAAAGTGATCGAATATTTCTAAATTTGACACGGAACAGCATTTAATGATGTCCCTAAATTCAAGCGCACGCGAGCGAAGCCGCGGGTAAAAAGCTAGTTATAATAATATAATAAGAAAATATAACCATAAGGCTACGAAATTAATTACAAATTTCACAAATTGACAGTAAGCATACATTTTTTCATTATAAGTTACCAATGAACTTACAGACCACCTGATAATGTGTGGCTAATGCAGCCCATGGACTTCTTCAAACAACTTCAAATAAAAAAGGCTAGGCTATGAGGCATTGTCACCTCTGAGGACTAAGATGGAATACCTTACTGCCTGTAATCATACTGGCTCTACACTCTTTTGACCGAGCATGTCAATGCACAAGCTGCTGTTTGGTGGCAGAAATGGGTAAGTTGATAGTACCAGCCTCCTAGACAGGAAACTAAAATTTTTATATATCAAAATTTATTGTGTATGTAATCAGTGTTAATGGAAATTAATTAGCAATCACCTTGCCCACGTCAATAACCAGCCCACCGGTATCATCAGAATCATCCACTCCAGTCTCATTCTGTGTAGTGGTCTGAGGAAAAATATTAGTGTTTATATTCTTCCAGGCAGACAATAATATATTTTTTTGAAGGATAAGGATAGTTTGATAATTTACAATGGCCTATTTTTGCCTTTCCACTGAATATGCAACATCCCCAAGTATTTCTTAACTTAAACTAAACATTTTTATCAACGGGTTGCAAATAGTACGTAATTTATATTTTGTAGTATCTTTACATCGGCTCAAAAAGTCTTTTTTAAAAATCATAAAAACATGCACATATTTGAAAACAACTTTGAGACAATATTTCATAGCAATTGGTAAAGAAATTGTGGCATTATAATATTTTGATCAAACAAACATTTACACATTTATTTATATAGATAATTCTGAACAACTTTCCTAAAATCATGGGAAGCATTATGAGTAAAATTTTTGTATCCAAAATATTTTTTTATTAAATGTAAGGTCTCTCGACAAACTTCTGCTATAAACTTAAGGCAAAAATTTTGGCAAAAACTAAATTACTCTATGGACTTGTTTAGAAGCACGGAAATCCTACACTGTGCTCCATTTTACAATTCCAATCTCTGTGGCATTCAAGGTAGGCATGTTATAGGTTATAATAAAATGTTATCATAATGAGCTTTCTGCACATAACAGAATTCTAGACTTTAAACTATTTAGTTACGTGTATTATGCTTTGCAGATTATCAGTTTTTAAATGACACAAATCGGTCCAGAAATTATGAAATTATCACAAGTTTTCTAAACACTTAATTTAAAATTCGGCGCCCGCCAACCGCCCCGAGCGATGACGTCATCATTCACTCTCGCTCTGCTCGCGTTGAACTGAATACTCATTCTTATCTCATTCAATCTTAATAAGGCCCGCCATATACATACGGAATTCCGTTTCGAGATTCCGTTTCGGAATTTCGAACGGTCGGCCACACACAAACGGAATTCCGTTTTGCCCGCAAAATATCGAACGGAAAACTACCGTACGTGTGTGGCGGGTCATAGATTTTATATGGACTCGCTGCGTTCGGAATCCCGAATCGGAATATTGAAACGGAATCTCGAAACGGAATTCCGTATGTATGTGGCCGGCCTAAAATTCACTGTTTGTGGTTGTAAACTACCTACCTGTTTTGAAATTAAAAATATTTTGTAAGGTTATCTATATTTTTAAGGTAATTTTAAAATAACATGGAATCCGGATTTGTTAAAGCTCAATCTGACAATCTTCCGAAAGTTGATGTTTTTATAGTGGACGAATTTTACAGAAATAATGCTAATTATTCCAGTGCAGAAATACGTGGAGACAAAATAAACAGGTAAAAATATATATTAAATAGGTACTCAAGTGTAAGTATCATTTTACATCATTATCAGTATGATACTTATTTCATTTTATAGGTAGTAAACATGTACTTACTAAATGAATTTTGTATGAAATGTTTTGATTATTATAAGATTAAGATACCGAGCAGCAGGCTGCGGCTGGCCGCGAGTAGGAATGGAGTGAATAATAACGTCACGCGAATGGCGCGCTATTTTTAATGAGTTTGTAGAAACCGCTCCACAAAAATGTTTTCTGTGTAAGTACTAGATTAATCAGTTCATACTCGGTTAAATTCATGCAAAAAGCTCATTAAAGAAAAAACAAGACAGATTTTTTTTATAGGATAAGGGTGACAAACGAGCACACAGTCCACCTGATGGTAAGTTGTTGCTGTGGCCCATCCTTGATTACATACCAAAATGCAGATGCATTGTCACCCATGAGGACTAAGTTGGAATGCTTCGTTCCAGTAAAAAGTTTCTGTTTCTCTATACTCACCATACTAAACACAGTAGCGATAGGCTGTTATTTTACACTGGTATTCTGTGAGAGTGTGCTCATTCCCCAGTCGAGAAGAACCATTTGCACTATAACTATACTAATAACATAGCTACAGCATGTCTTTAACACGTAAATATGCACAGGTCATAAACAGTGGATAGTTGGATTGTTTGCTATGCCTGGCAATCAATGAAAGAATTTGGTTTCACAGTGCATGATGGTTAGTATCTAGATGCTTCATAATATTTAATCTTTGTTATTTCTTTATGATGGTTAGTATCTAGATGCTTCATAATATTTCATCTTTGTTATTTCTTTGTAAGGCTTACCCAAACTTCTGTTACAAGTTATTATATATAAGTTGTTTTCTCTAAATATTAATTATAGCCAAGTGCTCTTTATAACAAATATATAAACAAAATAAACATCTCATATAAGTATTATGCTAAACTTACATCCTCAGTGGTAGTATCGTTGAGGTCTGTTGTGTCAGCCTCTCCTATGGCAGAGTCATCTATTGTATCATTTGCTGCAGAATCACTTAACGTGTCATTGGCTGCTGTGTCTTCTGGTAACTGCAGACAGATTTTTGTATATATTACCTATCTATTATTTATAGAAAAAATATGAATAGAAAAATGAAATTTACTTAAAGTAAAATAAATATTGGATTAAATTAACAAAATGTGTAATGACCCCTTAAATAGATGGGAGTGACAATCTGGATGCAGGTAATGTTATGGTAGCACCACATGTAACAAATTTCACAAACGCACATCGTGGCAAAACTCCTGATACCATCCACACCATCTGGATGCTTGACGATCCACCACTGTACGTTTAACTAGGAGTTTTTTCCGCGTACAACCTTTCTCTGGAATAGCTTACCAGCAGCAATTTTTTTGGACCGATCCTCCTTTTTAAAAGGTCGGCGGTAGTCACTTACCATCAGGTGAGCCATATGCTCGTTTGCCCCCTCTCCTATAAAAAAAATGTAACAATGCACATGTGCAAGTCTATTATGTGTGTTGGAAGAATATTGTGCATATTCTAGACTTTCAGGTCTGTGATGGTCATAATGAACAAAATGTATTTTATATTAAAAAAAGAACAATTTTAATTTTTAAAATAAGGTTACTTACATCCAGTATACAATCGGGGGAACAGACAAATGGAACAAAACAATACTTTATTGGTAAATATAGAAGTATGGGAAAAGTAAAAAAACAGACCATTCAGGAGATGGGTGACATTAAAGCAGTAGTAGGCAGCATATGGACCAGAATAGCTGGTAACAGGTATTTGTGGAGACAATTGGGGAGGCCTTTGCTAAAGAAAGGTGAACTAACAGGAATGTAGATTCAAATTCAGACAAAAGTTTAATGGAAAATAATAACTTGATACATAATTGTCTTTAGTAATAATCTTTTTCATAACAAATGTCTGAATTAAAGGCAAGACTTACTGTGGAAGAAATTCCAACAACTTGTTCCAGTGGTACATTGTTTGCAAAATCATGTTCAATCTGCTTAACACCATCATTAAAATCTCTCCTTTTCACAGTTTTTGTAAGAAACTTGTCTTTATTTTCTGCATAGTCAAAAATCATATTAGGTGGGAGATTTGCCCTGAAATGAAAAAAAAAATTATTTCTATATAATAGCTTGTGTTCCTTAGTGAAAAAAAAAACTGCAGATCATATTTATTGATAATGAGGCAGTAAATTTTAGCTTTGAGGAGCAGATGTGGGTGTCCATATAGCCCACAGCAATAACTTCCCATCAGGTAGACTGCACTCAAATGTAACAATTAATTCTATAAAAAAGAAACTAAGTCATAGGAATGCACATCAGAGGTGAAACCTTCTTAGCTTCAGACACTTGTAAACATTACTTTTGGACTTTTAAAAAATATTTTATTAGGAAGTATTTTCATTAGAAATTATTTTATAAAGATATCGATATAGTAATAAAATTATCATTTATTGTGATGTTTTATCAATCTTATAAAATTTAATCAATTGAGCTTTCAAAATTACTTTTAATTTTATGTATCTGAGCATCACAAGAGTTTAGTGCTTTTTCCCCATCCCAAAAGTGCCCATATGGCTAAAGATGCTTTCACTTAAAAAAAAAATTAATCCAGATATAATTCAACTCCTACTAAATGTAAACTCTACACAAATCATGTAATGTAGTAGTTTGGTGTAGTAATTTGACAGTTAAATTTAGTTATTACAGTATACAACATCACATTAATGGATGATGAACTTACGTTTCTCCAGTGCCATAGAAATACACAAAATATTTTTTCCCATTCAACCTCTGCACCTATAAATAATGCATTGTATCAGTTATCAATTCAATTCATTGCATAGCATCTGCATGCCAAAAATCAAAGAGTTTGTTAAATTTATTTTCACAAACTTCAAAAAAGGAAAGCTTCTATATTATATACATTGAAAAGAAATGTTCATCACATTTCCCAATTTCCTGAAAATGGGTGAATAGAATCAAATGATTCTTTGTTATTAAGATGTTAATATTTTTATTAAATACCATTTTAATACCATATATACCTCAAGGGAATTCCCATTTAAATTGGAAGAAATATATCCATAAATAAAGGTGAAACAATTAAATTAAAATTTAAATTATAAAGAAAAAGTAAAGATATTGCTGTACTTTGGGATTATCTTGTCAACCTCTCAACACTCAATTCTTTCAATATTATATTTTAATTTATTTATGGATAATGATTATATCAATATAATTTACACGGCTAAGGCCACCTCAACATACTGTTACTGTTATTGCAAGATTGGTGTAATGTTTCAGTCCACAAGAGTTGAGAGATCGGTAGGAGGGGAGTTGTAAAGTCACTTCCCACTTACATTTCCTGCCAGACGTGCTTAATTTTTTTTTATATATTTTTAAAAATCTCATTTTGAGGTTATGTTTTCGTAATGTTTTTGACAATATAAACCTGATATGTGGGGGCAGAGAGTTGGGGGAGGGTATCCCAATGCCACTCAACGTGGTGCAGTTGAGGGAAGCTCGGTCAACGAGCTCCTCCTAGCAGAGCTCCTATTTCTGGATGGTTTATAAAAAAAGAACAAAAAAATAAAACAATAACCAAGTCCCAAGCTCGCTTCGCTCGCTTTTGCACCAAATAAAACACTAAAATGTTAACTTTTATAATTGTAAACATATTTTATGACTTCCACCATTTCCAAAAACGTTGTAAAATAGCAAGTAATCGGTCTCCCAAAGGGGTACCGAAGTGGTCCAAAAACAGGAGGCAGATAATAACAATGAGGAGCACATTCACGTAAACTCGAAAGCAACGGAATGACGCTTATGACGCGAGTCGCGATGTCGAGTATAAATGTAGTGATTATATTCTCTTTGGTCGAGTATATCTTCTGTATGATATCTATTACTGATTACTGTCAATGTCAAAAGTTCCATTTCAGGTATTAATTAGTGATTTATAAATATTTTTAGAAAATTATATTAAATATTTCGACACAGCTCCGGCAGCTAAAATTGCATGGGGGCACTTGAGATAAGCCCCCTGGACCCTCCCCCCCCATAGTGACAGACTCCTCAAATTCAGGTGACTTGATTCTAAACCCAACCCATGATCAAGGCCCAGTTCTCTGTTTACCCTATAACACCAATTAATGCTAAATCTTATATATTCCATTGACACGATTATTAAGACCAATATCACCACTAAAAAGAATCTGCCGGATACTATTGGGAACCTAATAGTAAAAATGGACCCCAAAATCTAAGAATGATAAAAATTTAACTTTTCAGTTTGATTAAAAAAAATTTTTGAAGAATATTTAGTAAATTAACAATTACCTAGCTATTGTTTCTAAAGTATTTGTATCGATATAAGAAATTGATAGCGTTTACATAATATCGGAATTAAATTATCACCTTTATAATGCAACTAGAAAGAAATATAAAATAATTATAACTTATGGGAAATAAATTAATTTACTTGAAGCAATAACACAAGTGTGTTCACATTATCAATTATCTAATTTTACTAGGTACATAACGAAAGCGTCAAGCATCATGTCTTCCCGCGCAAAGGCATATAACAATAAACATGTTTCACTATAGTATATTTTAATAATGATAAATTTTATAGGTACTTACTCGAGCAGGCCATGCCGGATATCCCTTAACTTTTGCGAAAATGAAGTCGCCGGATTTATATTCTCTAACTTTTTTACCCATTTTCAAGTAACGCCGCTAGACGTAGACGATGTATTCCTTATTAACAATAATTACCACTAGCTCGAATTCACTAAAACACAATGTTCAAACAACTAAATTTTTGACACGCTTTATTATCAATCGTATTAGTACATAAAGAGATTGGTTCTATTAATTTTAACACATACGCCGATATAAAAAAATAACCTTAAAGAGATTTCTTACCGCGACAACGAAATGACGGAAAGAAAAGAAATAAACATGGCGTGTTTAGTGTTGCCACCATTTCAGCAGAGCTGCCGTTTTATAAATGAAAAAAATGTTAAGGGAGACTGCTAAACAGTTTCCAAAATGCTAAATACCTCAACGTTATAGACAATCTTTGATTTATTGGAATAGCTTGCCTCATGTTACTAGGTATCCTGTTTTTGAATTAATGGTTGAACTTTATTCAATAATTTTTTACAAGAACCATTGTCCATTCTCAGAAAGTTCTTATAATCATCTGGTGGCCTAGTTAACAGTGGTAGAGCCAGGCGGCAGCTTTTGCTGTCGCACGGATGGGCCGGCTCGAACCGGGGTGGTACCACCACAGAATACCAGCGTGAAGTAGAGATTTACCTCTGCGTTTCGCTTGGTGAGTGCAGGTGGCCGGAGGCCCTTTTTATTGGAAATGCATTCCATCCTAGTCCTCACGGGTGACAACGCATCTGCATTTTGATTCGCAAACGAGGATAAATGTAGATGTCTATGGGCCACAGCAACCACTTACCATCAGGTGGACTGTGTGCTCGTTTGTCACCCTATCCTATAAAAAAAATAGTTTCTATCACTCTTTGTAGATGTTCGTGTGTGAAACAATATCTTAATTTGTACCATTCTTTGCACCAAATTCTTTTTCTTTTTTCTTATTATTTAAGCAAGACATTAATACAATAAACGCGAGAAAATCTTTATCCATAGTTGACGGCATTTTTTTAAACCACATTAGCATTTTGGAAACCACACAGAACGTATCGCTTCGAAATTCAGCACAAGACTGATGAGGTTTGATCAAACACATCGCGAAGACGATCAAACGGTGCTTCAAACAAAATCAAAATATAAATTTCCATCAAACTAGCTTCAAACACGTAACGTTTGATCAAACCTGTCAAACCAATGGCGTAAACAATCAAATTGGTTTGACTCAAACCAAAATCTACGTCTTTGAATCCAACCGCTTGACCGTCTCGTCTCTCCCTTTAGACTTTGGCGGTGATAATACTAAAAAAGTGCAAAATCACACTTGAATATGCTAAAAAAATTCCGGCTGCTAAGTCTTGTTTAAATGAATAAGAAATGAAAATAAATTGCAAGTAGGTAGTGTAATTAAAAATGCAGTGCTATTTTAAAGTAAATTTAATCATCAAGATAAATCAAATAATATTTGTAGATCATCAATATAAGCTTCGTCGTGTGCTTGTGCTTGTGATGTTGAAGGGGCATATACAAAATCAATAGTCATTGGCATCACAAGCGACTCTTTAATCCCTCTAATCTGTTTTAAAACATGTTCGGGAACGTTATAGGAATGACAACATTTTCCTGATCTTTTAAGGCCATATCTGATGTGTAGGAACGAGTTCAGTGTATTTAGTTACATACGATTTCTTAATTTTGTTTTTACAATATTTATTTGCCTGAATACTAATTCTATCTCAGCATTCGAGTGCGGCAAAGAAAGATTAGATATGGCCAAATAAGCTGACTCCGAAAATAGGTTTCTTCTGCATATCAATGTTATGTTGCTAACTAGTAACATTCATTGCTATGCGAATAGCAGCACTGGTGATGCTCTACACCGGCCGTGCCAATATTTCTCGGGAAAACGTCGCCGAGTACCGGAACAAACTTGTGTCTGAAGTCGAGTCTTTGCTGGACAAAATCTCGGATTGGGGGCGACTAAATCTAGTCCAGTTTAATCCTCAGAAGACACAAGTTTGCGCGTTTACCGCTAAAAAGAACCCCTTTGTCGTATCTCCGCAGTTCCAAGGCACTCCCCTAGTTGCCTCAGCCAGTATCGGAATCCTCGGCGTCGACATATCGAGTGACGTGCAGTTTCGTGGTCGCTTGGAAGAGAAGGCCAAATTGGCCTCTAAAACGCTTGGCGTGCTCAGCAGAGCGGGACAGTATTTTATACCGGCACACCGCCTGCAACTTTACAAGGCGCAGGTTCGGCCTCACATGGAATAATACTGTTCCCATCTCTGGGCAGGGGCTCCCCAGTGCCAGCTCCTTCCACTTGACCGCATCCAGAGCAGAGCGGCTCGAATCGTCGACGACCGAGTCCTTTCCGATCGGCTCGATTCCTTGGCGCTGCGAAGAGATGTTGCATCTCTTTGCATTTTCTTTCGTATTTACCACGGGGAGTGCTCTGAGAAATTGTTCGGATTAATACCAGCCGCCAAATTTCACGAACGCACATCGCGGCAGAACTCCAGATACCATCCGCACCATCTGGATGATTGGCGGTCCATCACTGTGCGATTTAGAAGATGTTTTCTTCCTCGCACAACTTCCTTGTGGAATAATTTACTACCAGCGATTTTTCCGGACCGATACGACTTAGGGACCTTCAAGAAAAGAGCGTACTCCTTTTTAAAAGGCCGGCAACGCATCTGCAATTCCCCTGGTTCCCTTGGTGTTGCAGTTGTTCATGGGCGGCGGTAGTCACTTACCATCAGGTGAGCCGCATGCTCGTTTGCCCCCTCTCCTATAAAAAAAAAATTAAATAAAAAATAGGTTATAATCCGCCGAATATTCATGAACCTCCGACCAAAGTTCGACAGTTGAAGATTTATTTTCCCAGTCGGTATGTCAAATATTCCTTCACTGTACAGCTATAAGTTCAGTTTCATTGGCCTGGCAGCCTAACTCTTTTGCGAGTTCTATTATTGGTGGTTTTATAGCTGTTAAAGTTTCTCGTACAGAAATCATATTCATTGTTCGTAATTTCTTTACATTTGTTGGCAACCTTGATCGCATTTCTTGTACAAATTTAAGTGTAAACTGATTACAGTGGTGCCACAGATTACTTTTGGCTTCAGGTAAAAGTTCATATTCAGTCAGCTACAGTTCGAAACCATAGCCCATGTATGGAGATGGGTCTAAAGTGCGCACAAGATAACTCTGCGCGCGGCCAAAATTGGAACTAATCGTGTGCCGCCATCTTACTTACTGTTTGTGGGAGGTATCAAAACAGAGTGTTAGGAGTCGTGTTTTTATTCGTTTTTGCAGTAAATAATCGTCATCGTTATGCCGAAAGTGATTAAAATTGCTGGAAGGGATATTATCTTGAAGGTCAAATGTGCTTGTGAAGAAGAACGAGACAATAACGGGCCTACAGTACCGTTTTCAAAAGTTAGAGCCCACGTTTCATATTTCACAGGTAAGTTTTAGGGCTGCCATAACAAATAAAACTCCCTAATTTTCTCGACTTGTTCGTTTTTAGTTTCCTCGTGTCATCAATATCATATATTTATAATGCATTGTTTTTATTATGTTTAGGCGTTTCTGAACGCACCGTCACCCAAATAACTCAAGAGGGTATATGATGTAGTAGTAGCTTCATCTTCCAAAATTGTGACGCTGGGAAAAACAGCTTTTTGGACAGCCAGCTAAATTGGAAACCACACATAGAAAGTTTAAAAAATAAATTATTGTCATTAACAGGGATCCTTCATAGTTTCAAACATAAACTTCCGCGAAAAGTACAATATATAATTTATAATTCATTAGTTAAACCACACATCGACTATTTAATAGAAATTTGGGGTACAGCCGCTAAAACTAATTTAGAAAATATTCAAAAGGCACAAAATAAGCTAATAAAAGTTTTATTTAATTATAAATTCAGAACTCCTAGTAAAAAATTATATGAAGATACGAAAATAATGAACGTCAAACAATCATATATATACTATACATGCATATTAATACGTAAAATACTAAATAAGGAAATAAATTCCAGCTTGTCCTTTACTAAAAAACATGAAATACAAAAAAGAAAATTGAGAAACGCTAACTATTTAGTAACACGCCCTCCAAGAACCAATTATGGAAAGAAAAATATAGAATTTGAAGGTGTAAATATATATAATAAAATACCGACGGATGTAAAAAATGCTAAAACCATGGCTTCATTCAAAAAGTTACTAAAACTACATATTACCAGTATATAATATAAATAAAATACATAAATGAGAATTCAGTAAAACATAAAATGTATAAATATATATAATGTAATAAATAAATAGATTTCCTATACACACCGTTCATAAAAGTTTAAAATTAAAGCAAGTACTACTAAAATTACATATTACCCGTATATACAAATAAAATAATAAACATTTACATACATAGTAAAATATGTAAAAAGAACATAAATAAATAAATAGATTTTTTTTTTTTCACTTTATCACATTAAAGTTAACTTAAACACAACTACTCCTAAAACTACGTATTACCAGTATGTAAAAATAAAATTTATAAACAAGTACGTAAAAACATATTATTTAAAATGACCGAAAATAAATAAATAGATCCCCTATACTAAATAAATAAAAGTTTAAGATAAACACAATCGGTATTAGTACATTCACCTTGTTTGTCACTTCCAGTCGATTCTGTTTTAGATCTTTGTATCTGCGATTATCTACGCATGGGTTAATACAGTGACAGTATAGTTTTAGATGTACCCTCATTGTGTGTTATATTTATTAGTTCGTATATTGTTATTTCTCTTTAAGTGAATAATGTATTTATTCTTTGAGAAATAAAGTTCTTTAACCACAAAACTAGGGACCGGAGGAAAAAAAATAGTTTAGACGATTTTCACATGTGACGCTGTTTACGCCCGAACCCTGACTTCGGGATTGACGTCAGAGGGCGCGTGGCTCGGCGATACCGGTTTGACGTTCGGTCGTGCGTAGAACGCGCGAGGGCAAAGAGGAGTCGTCTGCCAGCTGTGCTTGGGACAG